AAATTCGCCTCTCATTCCATCCGTCCTGCTGAAACCACCAATGTGGCTCTTCTCGACCTATAACCTCCCAAACTCCAATTCTAGCCTCACTCCTCAACAACACAGAGATTTGCAGGTACTGATTTAGTGCAGAACTGAATTCGGTTACTAAAGTGAATTTGTTACAAGTTTTAATCCAGTCTCAGAATTCTTAGTACACGATCAGAGAAAACTTTGCGCCTCAATAGAAACAAATTATTCGTATGTGCCTGAAAGTGCTAAATGCAAGTGCCTTGAAGAGAAATTATCGAGAATATGCAGACTGTTGCAAGTCATACAAAGAAAACGCATACTGTTTTTGTGGTTTGCCAAATGTGATCCTTTTTTAAGGTAGCCACTCATAGATTTGAGCATAAACACACAGCAGTTTGCTGAAATACGTGTATTTATAAGTACATATTCAGTGGGTTGATTTCAGGCCTGCTTGAAGCACTCCATTCCAAGAAGATAAGAAAAACCACAGTGTTCCTGGAAATAGAAAATGTGAATAAAATGATATCAGCTCATAGAAAGATTAGTTTACTTAAAAAAATTTTTTTTAATGTTTATATATTTTTGAGACAGAGAGAGACAGAGCATGAACGGGGGAGGGGCAGAGAGAGAGGGAGACACAGAATCGGAAGCAGGCTCCAAGCTCTGACCCATCAGCCCAGAGCCCGACGCGGGGCTCAAACTCACTGACCGCGAGATCATGACCTGAGCTGAAGTCGGACGCTTAACCAACTGAGCCACCCAGGCGCCCCAAGATTAGTTTACTTTTAAATTTTTTTTTAATGTTTATATATTTTTTGAGAGAGAGACAGCATGAGTGGGGGAGGGGTAGAGAGGGAATCCCAAGCAGGCTCCACACCATCAGCACAGAGCCAGATGCAGGCTCGAACTCACAAACCACGAGATTATGACCTGAGCTGAAATCAAGAGTCAGTCCCTTAACCCACTGAGTGACCCAGGCGCCCCAAAAGATCAGTTTAAATTAATCTATGGCTGGAACTGTGAAAGAGCTGTTAATATTAAAAGAACATTATTTCTGTCCTGATATTCATAGTATTTTTCACTGTCTAAAATACTTGGCTTTCATGGGTTTGCTTCTAAATAAATCATAGTTTAAAATACATTATAAACCTGTAATGGCCTATTAACATACATTAATAGAAACCAAAAGGCAAAACCTCATTCCCGACTAAATACAATTTTTGTCTACTCTGCTACCTGCAGCCCATGGGGCTAAAACAGACTAGAGAAAACCAAGCATCCATGCTGAGCACTCTCGGTTCAAATAGAGGCTCGCAGCCCCAAGTGAGCCTCCATTCTGTGTGGTAATTATAGCCTCCATCATCTCCCAGATGGTGATTTCGTATCTTCTCCTCGATGCGCAAACCTCTCATAGCACCTGCCTCGGGTTCACGCTCAGCTGGTGACCTAGACTTTGCTGCCTATTTCACTGAGGAAATAGCAGTCAGGAAAACTTCCCAAGCTGGCACCCCCACACCTACCCTTACTCCAGCATCACGCTCCTGTACTCAGCCTGATATCTAATGTGTGCTCCTATCCAAGGCCAACCCGTCCACTTAGGCACTAGATCCCAACCCTTTCACCAACATTGCTCCAGTATTCCTCCTGCATCACCTAGTTTTCCCCATTTACGGACTCATTTCTATAAGGATATACACATACTATTACTGTTCACATCTCAAAAAGAAAATTAAAAATCTCTTAACCACCCTTCCCCCTTCTTGGGGAAGAAAAATTTTACTCTACCCGTTAAGATTCTCCTGGGTGGTATAAGAATGTTAAATGAACATGAGACAGATTAATGGGGTCTGGGGGAATTAGTTCCTACGTACAGAGGTGTCATAGATATGGGACCTAAGAAGTGACCGAGACAGGCAGCTTTATACTTCCTAGACAAAGAAACATAAATTTACAAAGAATGGACAGGACAAAGAAAACTTCTGTTTGGGAATTGTCAGTTAGTAAGGAATCTAAACAGTATTGGGCCGAGGTAGTAAATTAGCAAAAGTAACAAGGTTTGTTTGTGTAGGCTTCTTCAACCTTGAGTTCCCTGTCTCTCATGATAAGGATGTCTCTCTTCCTCCTGGTGTAGGGAGCGTACCTTTCACATGGGAGATTTACGACCTGCTTTGTAGAGACGGAGGAGGGTCAGACTGTTTTTGTTACACTGGCTGTGTCTTAAATAATCTTAATTTAAAAAAGCACCATGCCATTGTGGCATATTTGGGGGCAACCTGCCCTGGGCTCCCACACTCTCCCGATGACTTCTCATTCTTTGCTTCCCTTTATTTACAGTAAAACTCCTCCAGGGTGGTACTGTCTCCGATTCTTCTCTTATTCTTTCTTACCCACTCCAATCAACCTTTGTCCATACTACTCAGTCAAGTCACCAATGTCCTACACTGTCCATACGCTATAGCCAACTGTCAACTGTCCCGCTTGACTTATTGGCTGTGTCTGACACAGACACTCTCTCTTGAGTCCTCCCTTGAAACACGTTTTCCCCTTGGCTTCCAGAACCTCATACTCTCCTAGTTTTCTTCCCGTTTCACTGACTCTTCCTTCTCTGTGTCCTGTGTGAGTTCCTCCTCAGCTTCCTGACCGTCTACACCTAAAGTGCCCCAGGGTTCAATTCTCAGACCTCTTTTCTTCCCTATCTTCACCTTTGACACTGGTGACAGCATCCAGGCCAAACTAATATATCTCCGGCCTGGCCCTCTCCCCTCAGCTCCAGACTAGTATATTCACATCCCCATTCAACATCTCAATTTAGATGTGTATAAGGAATGCCGAACAAGCCCCAAATCGAACACTGGACCTCCACCCCCAAACCTGTTTCTCCTAAATTTTCTCCGTCTCAGTAAACAGCAACTCATCTTTCCTGTTGCTCAGGCCAAAAACCACAGGGCTAGACTTGCCTTCTGTCCTTTTTTCTCACACCCCATCTTCTCTCCACAGCAAATCCTAGCATCTCCACCTTCGAAATAGATCTGGAGTCTGACCACTTCTCACTGCTCAGCTGATGTCACTCTGGTTCAAGCCTCACCTCCTGGATTATTTGATGACCTCTGAATTGGTCTCTCTGCTTCCACTCCTGTTCGACACAGTCCATAATAAGGTGGTGGACGTTTTCTGCTCAAACCCTTCGTGACGGCTCCCAGAGTAAACACCCAAGTCCTTTCCATGGCCCGCCATCTACCTCCCTTTCTTCTCTGACTCGATCTCTTGTGTCCGACTCACTTGTTCACTCTAAGCTAGTCACACTCACCTCTTTATTGTTCTCTCTGCTCGGAGCTGCCTTCCCCCAGATTTCTACATGGGGTTTCCATCACCTCCCTCCAGACTTTGCTCAAATCTCATCTTCTCTGGGAGGCCTTCTCCAGACCACTGCTGGTCCCTTCTGCCCTTTCCAGGTGCTCAGCTGGGTCTCTGTAACAAAAGGCAGATTGACAAGAGAAGAGCACACAAATTAGCCTTCAGAAACAAATGACGCCCCCAAACAAGGTTAAGCCGGAGTGTTTTTTTTTACTCTGGGTTCGATGAAGACCGGTAGGACAAAGGGTACCAGCTAAGGGTGGTGAACTGGGGGAACTTACCCACAGCTGTTTGTTTGGATTCCTTGCTGAGTCCTGGTGTCTTCAGAGATAAGGATGTTACGTTCTTCCAGGTAAGGGGAGGGCACCTCTCCCAAGCGGGCTTTATGAACTGCTTTGGGGGCGGGGGGCGGGGGGGGGGGGGGGTGTCATAGAGTCCTTCCAGCACCTGCCATTTCACAAATTCCTTCAGCTTACACTATTCCGTATGAGGGAGTGCCATTCTGAGGTGATGTATCTGGAACCCTGTCACTATCCTGTTTAAAATTCCAACCCACAGCCCCTGAATCTTCCCCATCCAACAATCACGTTCCTATTCTAGCTAACATATTATTTTACTTATGTTTTTTAGTTGTCTGCCTCCCCCAATCCCAAATGTCAACTCTATAGGGGCAAGGCTTTTATTATTATTTTTTAATGCATTATTCACAGCTGTATCTCTAGCACCGAGAACGGGGCTACCACGGTATTCCTCCTGCATCATCTAGTTTTCCCCATTTACTGACCTATTTCTATAAGCATACAAACATACGATCACTGGGGCGCCTGGGTGGCGCAGTCGGTTAAGCGTCCGACTTCAACCAGGTCACGATCTCACGGTCCGTGAGTTCGAGCCCCGCGTCAGGCTCTGGGCTGATGGCTCAGAGCCTGGAGCCTGTTTCCGATTCTGTGTCTCCCTCTCTCTCTGCCCCTCGCCCGTTCATGCTCTGTCTCTCTCTGTCCCAAAAATAAATACACGTTGAAAAAAAAAAATTTAAAAAAAAAAAACAAAACAAACAAAAAAAACATACTATCACTGTTCCCATCTTAAAAGAAAATTAAAAATCTCTTAACCAACTTTCCCCCTTGCTGGAGAAGAAAAATTTACAAAATTTACAAAGTCTACAAAATTAACCATGGGCCACGGTTAATGATGTGGACATATTTTATTATACACTACTATATCCTTGGTGCTCTGGGTGTATTTTCTCATTTAACCATCACATCTATATAGTGGTTATTAACATTTTTTTAGTGTGTTAATGTTTTTTTTAATGTTTTATTTTGGGTAGAGAGAGAAAGACATTTCATGTGTTGATGTTTTTTTTGATGTTTTATTTTGGGGAGAGAGAGAGAGAGACAGCATGAGTTGGGGTAGGGGCAGAAAGAGAGAGGCAGGCACAGAATCCGAAGCGGGCTCCGGGCTCTGAGCTCTGAGCTGTCAGCACAGAGCTTGACGCGGGGCTTGAACTCACAAACTGCGAGATCATGACCTGTGCCGAAGTCGGCCCTCAACCGACTGAGCCACGCTGGTGCCCCTATGTAGCAGTTAGTATTGTCGCTATTTTGTAGATGAGAAGATCAAGCCACAAGGAGTTCAGTGACTACCGATGTCATGCAGCCATAAATGACAGAATTAGTTTTCCAACTCAAGTCTGTGTGGGCCTCAGAGTCACTTCATTCACAGTATCGTAACCCTGGTTTCAATTCACACTGTCAATACGCATGCAGTTGCCGTATTCCAAATCCGTATCAAGGTTTAAGTGGTCCCCAGGCAGGGCACGAGGGCCCAAGGCAATTATAGTGCGACACCACAGGGAGGGCTTCGCCTAACTCCTTTAGAAGCTGTTGTGAGTCACAAGTTTTCCGTACCATTTCAAACATCTGGATATTTGGAACAATCTGGGTGATCGGTTTACCAAAGCCTTTCTGCAGTTTAGCATCTGCTCCGAGTGGGTTTCGTATTCGTTCCAGACGTCTGCCTTAAGTAAAAAGGGAAGTTGACTCTTCAAGAAAGAAGGAAGGAAGAGAGAATAAAATACTTCCGAGAGATATAGGTTATCTGTATAGAATATTTCTGGTAGAATAGATAAGCCAGTGACCATATTGCTTCTGGAAGGAAGAATGAGGGATTAGGAAACCAGAAAGGGAGAGGGACTTCTTGCTTATACCACTTGTACCTTTTCTTTTTTTAATTTTTTTTTAATGTTTATTTATTTTTGGGACAGAGAGAGACAGAGCATGAACGGGGGAGGGGCAGAGAGAGAGGGAGACACAGAATCGGAAACAGGCTCCAGGCTCTGAGCCATCAGCCCAGAGCCCGACGCGGGGCTCGAACTCACGGACCGCGAGATCGTGACCTGAGCTGAAGTCGGACGCTTAACCGACTGAGCCACCCAGGCGCCCCCACTTGTACCTTTTCAAGTTCTGTGCCATTAAATACCATCCGAAAATAGGCCGAATAATAACAGCAGGGCGCCCTTTCTGGCCTCCCGCTGAGAGGGCAGCGAAGAGGACACACTGTCATCATCGTGCCCCCAGGCTCTGAGCACCCCGTCAAGGTGACAGTCATTCAAGCTCTCTCCGGGCCTCGGCTTCACCATCTGCAAGGTGACCATCATAATTAAAGTTTGCCTTGCTTTACTAGCGGGGTCTGTTGTGAGATTCCAAGTGTAAAACCTTATCCATGTGTAAGCGATCACGGCTGTTTAGGAAAAGTGTGGTGGAGAAGAACGCAAGCCAGCTCACTGAGCTACGGAACACGGAGTGAGGCCAGAATAGCAACAGTAACTGTCTCCGTAGATAAGTTCTTGGAAGTGGGAAAATCTGTAGAAAAGCTGTTGTGTGGCCTCAAACAGTGTTATGTAAAATTCAAAGAGAGAAACGAGATTATCATTTGCACGGTGCCGGCTCTAGTCCCTGGTCTTGGAATTAGGCCAGTCTGGGTCATCCTCCCTCGAGACCTCACAAGGGCTTTTCACCCTCACGGTACACAGACTAGCTGGACTTCAGAGAACCAGAGCGGTTGAAAACTCATTTATAGAAATAAACAACGGCAAACTTTCAGTTATAGGACATACTAGCCTGAATTGTAAATATCTATCTAGATGCAGCCTTGCCTTGAGACACAATAACGATTGTAGTAAAAGTCATGGAAAAATGCAAGATAACTTGCTTTATGGCTACTGATAAGAGAATAAAAACAATGTGTAATGGATGCAGTTTTGAGCCACGCTGTGGGTCGTCAATGAAGTGAAGAGAAAATGGCATTTCTCAAGAAAAGGCTGCTAGGTTGTTTTATAGGCCAATTTACCTAAATAGCACGGTATTGATTTTTAAGTGTTTTAAGTTTACTTATTTGAGAAAGAGAGCACACGAGAGCGAGCAGGGGAGGGGCAGAAAGAAAGGGAGAGAGAGAGAGAGAGAGAGAGAGAGAGAGAGAGAAGCCCCAGCAGGCTCTGCACTGACCGTGCAGACATGGAACTCGAACTCATGAACCGTGAGAGCATGACCTGAGCCAAAATCAAGAGTCGGACACCTAACTGACTGAGCCACCTAGACGCCTCTAACTAGCATAGTATTTAAAAAACTAACACAAACTAAGTGCACAGGGCACATATTTCTGGACTGTTTTGGAGCCCATTACTCTTGTTCATTAGTTATCTTCTGCCATGGAGAAACGCTCTATCCTAAAGTGCTTAATACACCGATAAAAGGCTCCCGGTTCGGGGAAAAACTTTTTTAGAGCTTCATGTCCTTCTTCTTCTTCTTCTTTTCCGATTCGTTTCCTCCTTCTCTTTCATCTTGGTACCTGTAGGGAAGGGAATATTCCTCGGCCTTCAGATCACAGACAACAAAGCACTACGTGTATCTAACCAATCTAAAGACCGCTCTCCAGGTCCCTGCCGGTTTCCCGGCGGAGCAGCAGAGGAGACATCGGCAGGTCCTTGTGGGTCGGCCACTGTCTGAGCTTACTGGAGGCCTGTAGTTCTCCACAGTTCTGGGATGGGCTCTTCCACGCACAGGGCGGCGGGAGGGTGAAAGGAGAGGATTTGGAGGCGTTAAGTCAACTAATGCAGCACACGAATGTGCATCACAAATCCATTTGAAGAGGGAACCGTCTGCTTCTTATCCCCTCCTGTTCTCTTTTCTCACTTCCTCTTCCTCTCCCCTCTTTCTGTCCTTCCCCACTCTGCCTTTTCGGCGGGGCGCAAGCTACAAGGCAGGAAGAACCGAGGGTCTGAGTTGTGAAAACAAAACAAAGTTTAAGAGTCAGTAAATACAAGCTACACCCAGATTACTGAGAAAAGTGAAATAAAAACCAGCTCAGAGCCAAATTCCGGGAAGATGCTGTATGTTGGACTGACTTCGCGTTTTCACATTTGTTGCCTTGAAGCTTTGGTCATTAGTCTTCCGGTTCCTAATACAAAAAAGTAAATGCTGACTCGTGTCATTGGCCTCAGATACCACCGGAAATGGCATCTTCTCCCCAGCCGCTGGCTCATAAGCATAGAAGCACCCAGGGGTGAACTTATCTGCCTTCCAGCCCAGGCCTGGCCTTCTGATCTACAGCCGAGAAAGGAGCCCGTCTAGGGAAGAGATCTCGGATCAACTGAGAGGTACATTTTCAAATCACCAGTTACTGTAATGAGTAAGTACTTTCCAGTTTTCCCATTTTATTTTAAGCATTAATTAGGATCCTCATTTCTTGGGCACTTACTGTAGAGAGGAATCACCGTCCTAACCCCCTTCACCCTACCCCCACTTAACTGGACAGCCCTGAAGAGACAACTGTTATTTTGTAATAAGAAAGATTTATGATCGATACACTACCCTATCTCTAAAAACGTACAGTAAAAAGAGACAGCCAGTTGTGAACAGGAGAAAGGATGTGAAGCATCGGCTGTCTGTGCAATCTTGTATGTTGTGGTTGACCACAAAGGCTTGGCATCAGTTTTGACTCCCAGCTCTGCTTTTTATAAAATAGACGACCTTGGGCAGACGACTTCATCTTCCAAACTTAATTTTTGAATGTGTAAAATGGAGAAAAATAAAATACCAATGTCACAGATAACCAGGTAAAACACTTAGGATACTGGTGGAGTGGACACCAAATGTTACCGAGTAACAAGTGAAATTAGCATTTCTCAGTAATAAAGTAAGTCCTTCATTTGACTGGAAAGCTCTCTTAACGAGGAACATCCCAACCCTTGAACATGCAGACGTGGCTCGAGTATAACAACAACGAACATGTGCAAAGTTTCCAGAGCATTGCACCTGATTTCCACAGTTAACCCTGGTGAGTGCAGAGCCGTTGACATGATTTTGTCACTGAGGGATAGAGAAGCCAAAAGCCCGGCTGAAGCCGGCAGCAGGAAGGGAAGCTCACGGGTCCAAACTCGGAGCTGAAGGGAAGAAAACAGGGCTTGAAAAAAGCCAGTGTCAGAGTGAGTTTGCCCGTTCCATTCTCCAGGCGAGCTTCTCTCCTCTTGGACCTTGTCTCTCTTCTGGTTCCAAGCCCTGCAGCTTAAAACTGGCAAAGTCCTTGGTCCCACTGCTGCCAACACACGGAGCGGTGGGAACGCAGGTCTTCCAGATCCGTCTATAGCACAGTGTAGCTAGGGAGCAAGGCGGACGAGAGACTGACTCTTAGAATCCCATTTAATTCAACACCTTTTTTTCCCATAGAAACACTATTGCACTTAGGAAGCAGACACCACATTGTTAATCATAACAGCAATAATAAAAGAATATCCAACTTAAAAGCTCTTTACAGGGCCCTGGGGTGGCTCAGTCGGTTAACCATCTAACTCTTGCTTTCAGCTCAGGTCATGATCTCATGGTTTGTAAGATCAAACGCTGCATTGGGAGCCTGCTTGGGATTCTCTCTCTCTCTCTCTCTCTCTCTCTCTCTCTCTCTCTGCCCCTTCTTCACTTGGTCTCTATCTCTCTCTCAAAGGACAAAAAAAAAATTAAAAGCTCTTTCCTGTGATCTCCTTAGAGGAGCACTGGAGGCCACTTCTCCCATCTGAATGCTGAAAACACAGGAGATGAAGTGAGCTCAGAGGTGGGAAACCCCAGCCTGCTGACTCAGCCTAACGTTCACATCACTGCTTAAAATGGCTCTTGTGGCCATTCCTGGAGACAGAACTTTCAGAATCCAAGCTGCTCATCTGTTGAAAGCAACTTAGTCTTTATTGGCTCCCCATCACCCTTCCTTTCCAACCATGGGAAATTTTTATTCAAATACTGGTTAGAATCTGGAGTAGTCAGCATAAGTATAAAGAATTTCTAAGTACAAACAGAGCTTAGCACAGCACTGAGTTTTCCACTGACCCATTAGGAGGAGGAATTAACTATCAGTGAATGAAAGCTGAACTGAGTTAACTTCATCCCTGCTGTTTCCTCATGGAAAAATTTAAAGCTGTGTACAAAACATGGCTTTGGGGGCGCCTGGGTGGTGCAGTCGGTTAAGCGTCCGACTTCAACCAGGTCACGATCTCACGGTCCGTGAGTTCGAGCCCCGCGTCGGGCTCTGGGCTGATGGCTCAGAGCCTGGAGCCTGTTTCCGATTCTGTGTCTCCCTCTCTCTCTGCCCCTCGCCCGTTCATGCTCTGTCTCTCTCTGTCCCAAAAAGAAATAAAACGTTGAAAAAAAAATTAAAAACAAAACAAAACAAAACAAAACATGGCTTTGATTTGTTTTTCAACAGAGAATAAAAAGGAAAACGGTATGCAAATATTATTTTTCTAGATAAGACTATTTTTTCCTCTTAATTTCAACAAATATTTATAGCTGGGGTTAAAAGCTCAGGTTTTGGAGCCATAATTCCTCTTAAAGAAACAAAACAATATCTTTGGCTTATCTAATCAATCAGAAGATTCATTGGCAATGACAGACTAGTTATGCCTTTTCCTAGCTGCACCATCTTGGGTGATTTACATAACCTCTCCAAGCCTCAGTTTCCTTATTCATAAAGTGAAGATAGTAATAGTCCTTACCTCATGAGTGGGCCCGGCAGGCAGTAACTGCTCCATGAATGCTAACCATTATGCAGAGGGGTAGAACGGTGGGGTGAGACCCAGCCTCCAGGACTAGGATATACTGGGGTAGTTAATTATAGTACAAAATAGAACCAAGGACTAAGTCAGGGCATCTATCAGAAGGAGGAGGGACTTTCCTGTCTGGGGAAAAAAGGGAGGCTTTCAGACAGAGCTTCATTTGAAACTGGATCTTAAGGCAGAAACAGAATTTCAGTAGAAGGGGTGCCTGGGAGGCTCAGTGGTTTAAGATTCTGACTTCAGCTCAGGTCATGACCTCAAGGTTCCTGGGTTCGAGCCCCACATAGGGCTCTGTGCTGACAGTTCAGAGCCTGGAGCCTGCTTTGTATCCTATGTCTCCCTCACTCTCTCTCTCTGCCCCTCCCCCTCTCGTGCTCTGTCTCTCTTTCGCTCAAAAATAAATAATAACAAACATTAAAAAATTAAAAAAAAAAAATTTCAATAGAGGAGGGGGTTAGGGAGCACTGATGCTGAGCCACAGAGCAAACACGAAGAGGTGAGAAAAAGCTCAGAGTATACACAGGCTCTAAAATTCATCCACAGGCATTGGGGAGCGGCACAGAAGGAAGGATCCTATCTTGGGTTAAAAAACAAAGTTTATAAATACAACATGTTGGGCTTATGCTAGCATATCAAATGAAAGTGAAGATACAAAATTCAAAAGCCTAGATGATCACATTTTATGTGAGAACACGGAAACTAAAAACCATGCCATTTTAGAAGTCTTCCAAAGTAAAAAGACACACTTTCTTTACTTCTTATGTTTATTCATTTTTGAGGAGAGAGAGAGGGAGGGAGGGAGGGAGGGGCAGAGAGAGAGGGGGGACAGAGGATCTGAAGGGCAGACAGCAGTGGGCCAGATGTGGGGCTCGAACTCACGAACCATGAGATCATGGCCTGAGCTGAAGTTGGACGCTCAACCAACTGAGGCGCCCCAAAGACACACTTTCTTAAGAATTAAGAATAATTTACGGAAAGCACAAGAGGTAATCATAAAACCTAAAACAGAGGTGAACTCGATCGCTGTGCTCAGCTTCCCAAAATATATTGCAACACCCTTCTCCCTAAAGCATATCCTCAAGAATCCCATCTTATTTTTTAATGCCAGGAAATAGGTGAACGGTTCTCCATCCAGGCTCTCATTCAAGGATTTTGAGGTTTCAGGAAGAGTGGAGACAGCCATACTCAGAGGCAGAGGTGATTCCCACCTGGTTATCCCCAACCAATGTGGCAAGCCTCAATGATACATCAGCTCTCTGAAAATGCACAGCAAGGATATGTTGCCATCATTCCCACAGAGGATCTGATATTTACCTTTAGGAAGATTGTCCAAAGGTCACAAGAGAATTATCTTAGGAATGCAGCCATGGTTTGATGGTAGGATAAATTGACGTCTAGAGAATTTGAAAGTGATAAGAGGCCCACACAGAAGGTTACTCGTTGCCCCCTCCCCTTCCCCACCCCCTGGGAACTTCATTCCACTCACCTGAATGCGTCTGGAACTCAGGAGACAAGTTTGGGCTGGCTTAATTTATTGAGCACTTAAAAACGCGGTGGGCCTCACGCTAGTGACTTCGTTCATTTAACCCTCACTTTAAAGAGATTCGTGGTTATTAGTCTCGTTTTGCTGATGAGGGTTCTGGAGTGCAAAAAAATGACTTAAACGGCCCTGGGTCTCAGGGGCTCGTAAGCGGTGGAACCGGATATAAACCCCGGGAGCTGATTCCGAGCCCCCCCCCCTCTGAGCCACTGGGCTTTGCCGCAATTCGGGAGGCATCTGCATACAAATGGTGATTGATAAGGAGACTTGGATAATTTGTTTCCATCCGAAGTGGGACTTTTTCTGGTGGGGGGAAGGGTGCTGTGAGTAATTGCGCTGGAAAAACAGGGGGCAAACCTGAACAGTTTGGGGCAAACAGAAATGTGAGAGTGGAGGGATTTACCCAGGGAAAGAGTGTTGAAGAAAAGAAGAAAGGAGCCCATTAGTAGGTCTTGAGAAAGACCAACAGTAGAGGAGTTGCCCGAGAAAGAGAAACCCACACCGGATCCTGGGGGAGGTGAGCCGGGATACTGGAGTGTCAGCCTGGGGCAGTTTTCCTCAGCGAGTCACCTGGGGCGCCCCCAAGACCCCAGGAGCTGGGAATGCTTTGGGTGATAAGGCCCACGAGGTGGCCTTTAACAGGAGCGGCCGGGAAATCACTGGTGATTTACTGACCAACATTTCTTGGGTTTGGTGGAGTTGGAAGCCAAATGAAAGTAACAGGAGTGAGTGGGAGGTGAGGCCCCAGCCACAGCCCGTGCAAATAACCCGTTTCCAAAGTGGCCTTGGAGGGGAAGCAAAAGATAGGACTGTCCTGGAGGTGGAGTCAAAGAAGTTTCCTTTCTTTTTGAAAGCAAGAAACCAGAATGCGTTTAGTGCTTAAGGGAAGGAACCAGCCACAGGAGAGGGAAGAAAAAGTAGAATGCGTAATGACCCCCTCTCCAGGGGACAGCGTGGAGCAAAGTTCCTGAGCCGCCAGAGCTGAGAAATTACCTTTACACCTGAGCAGGTACAGCTGTGCCTCTGCGGGAGGAAGGGGGCACCGTGGGCTGGAGGGCTTGATGCAGGGGAACGGGAGCGAGGTGCCGTCTGCGGGCTCGGGTTTTCTCTGCCGTCCCAGCGGGGAGGGGTTGTTGTGCGCGCCAGGCGCTGTACTAGGCCCTTGACAAACAGTGACGTGATCTCTTTTCGTCTTCACGGCGGATCGGTGATCGGTAGGCGATCTACCTCACTTTACCTCCAGAGGAGACGGTGGCTCAGAACGGTAGGCAGTCAGCCCAAGCGCACACGGCTGCTTGGGGCCAGAGTCCACGCCTGACTTGAGTGTCTCCAGGGCAGGGAAGGCCGGCTCGGCTGCCTGTCTTTCCGTTATCTTTCGGTCTCAGGGTAATAAGAGGTAGGAAGTTAGCGAATACAGTTTAAATACTGATTGGAGACCGGAATGTGGAAGTTTGTCATAGACTCGGCATGATTGAAATAGTGTGTTTGTTTATAGGGATTGCTTTGATATTTTTACCCTAGGAGATCCTTTCGTAAAACAGGAGTTGTTTCTTTTTCTTTTTTTTTTTTTTTTTATGGAGCTATTGAATAAGAGCTCCATAGTTTGTTTCGTTTTTATAGAAGTCACCTGCATATCAGGTATTATGAAGCCACCCTTCATTTGTAAAGGATGCTACCAGCATTTCGTTCTAAAATCCATAAGAAAATTTTATATGAGACTGTTCCCACAGGGAAAATACGCTGCCTGGCGGATTTTTACACGTGGCCATTTTTACACTCTAAAAGTGTGTGAAATTCTTCTGTGGATACTTTATTGCAAAAGAATCCCAAATTTAAGATTGTGGCCCCAGGGGGATGGTGCTGATACACCTGGATTATGTCCGCGGTGAGTCCTGCCTCCACCAGGAAAACCTGCAGCCCACTTCGTTGCCTGCCTTCCTTCTTCCTTCCTTCCTTTCACCGTTCACATTTATTTATTTTTGAGAGACAGAGTGTGAGTGGGGGAGAGGCAAAGAGAGAGGGAAACACAGAATCAGCCTCCAGGCTCCAAGCTGTCAGCACAGAGCCCAACGCGGGGCCCAAACTCACGGACCCCGAGATCATGACCTGAGCTGAAGTCGGACACTTAACCGACTGAGCCACTCAGCGCTCCCCGTGGAGCCCACTTTGAAGATCACTATTCTAGGTTTCAGTTTTCCATTTCCGTCACTTGTGTTTGAGATTTTAGATGTGGTGCATAAGGATTCATTCCCTGAATAGCCAAGTAAGAAATACGGGCCATATAGGGATGGGGTAGAGGAACCTTGACAGTAGTTGGGGGATGTGAGTCACTTTGCAGAATGACAACTGTCACAGCCCCCAGATAGACACAGGTGATCTCCAATTTGTACTGAATTAATTAATGGGCTGCAGAGCTGAGGCCTATTTTAGAGGGGAAGTTACCTGGAGTGGGGGATTAGAATCCCAACTTTCTAGGGGCTGATATTTGCAAAGAATTTGCGTTCTTTACCATAGTAAATTATTTACCATAATATTTCACAGTATTTTATGTATTTTTTAAAAATTTGCTCTCAGGGGCGCCTGGGTGTGTCAGTCGGCTTCGGCTCAGGTCATGATCTCACGGTTTGTGGGTTCGAGCCCCGCATGTCTCTGTGCTGACAGTTTAGAGCCTGGAGCCTGCTTCGAATTCTGTGTCTCCCTCTCTCTCTCTGCTCCTCTCCTGCTCATGCTCTCTCTGTCTCCTTCATAAATAAATAAATAAATAAATAAATAAATAAATAAATAAAATTTGCTCTCAGAACCACTTTTAAACATAGTAGGCCGGCAATATTTTCCCCTTTTTTGTGTTATATGGAAAAGAGTGTGTGTTAATGGACTTGCCCCAGATCAAAAGAGCAGTCTCTTGAGAATCAGCAATCCTCAGGCCATTCATTAAGCTTTCCCAAAGAGAAGTTTGAATTGTTTGTTTTTCTTCTTAGAAAACTTACTGTGACACGCAATTTAATTTTTGACAAGTTTAAATCCCGCTTAGAAAATTCAGCAAATGCCAAGACACAGCGGTAAATTCGTGAAAAATAATAATCTTATTTGTACTGTCTGTTCCGTTTAAATAGATGTAAGGGGATCTTGGAAAGTTCCACACATTGATTTGATTACGAAAAATGCAGGTAGAAGAAAATGAACTATTTATATTCCCAACATAATGTTGCATTAAGATGGTTAGTCTTATGCAAGAAATTTTTTAACTAGTTGCAAGTACTTCCTATAACTAATCAAAACAACATCCTAATTGTTAGTGTTTACCTCTGATTTAAGGCTTCTCTGCAGGGTCTCTAGAGCAACTGACCTATATCTGTGTCTGCCTTCCTGTAACTAAAGATCAATAAGAAAAGAAATTAACCTAAGTTCTACAACACGTTGATGAATGAAAAACAAATGTTATGTGTTTGGCTCGTGATAGTTATACAAGCAATAGTCAGTGATTTATAAGTCATGGTGCTTATGAAGGTATTAAAAAATTAATTACCCCCAAACAGAAATCTAAGCAAAATACTTGAAAGTAATTTATTGTAGTAGTAGCCATTATTAATGCATATTTCTGTAAGAGTGTTAGTCAACGTCCAAATAGAAAGCATGGAATTAGGGGCGCCTGGATGGCTCAGTCAGTTAAGCGTCCGACTTCGGCTCAGGTCATGATCTCACGGTTCGGGTTCGGGAGTTGGAGGCTGCGTCAGGCTCTGTGCTGACAGCTCGGAGCCTGGAGCCTGCTTCAGATTCAGTGTCCCCTCTCTCTCTGCCCCTCCCCCATTCATTCTCTCTCTCACTCTCTCCCTCTCTGTCTCAAAAATAAATAAACATTCAAAAAATTTAAAAAAAGAAAGCATGGCACTAACTTATGATTTGAGGAATCATCATCAAACTCTTTAAAAAAAAAAAAGTTTTAATTTGACGTTGGAATCACACCTTGCAAGGATCACCCAAATACCTCCTATCCCCCTCCTGCCTCTTCCATCTGGCTTTGGCGCTTCATTTACGTATATCCACTGTAGCCACTGGCACCTTCTACAATACTTGCCTTTCTGAGTCCATTTCCTTTCCGCTCCTCTTGAGAGAAGAGACCGCCTTTTTATACCTAGTCCTTCCATCTAGCACAATAGCTGGTTCTCAGTGACCTTTACTGAATGAATGAATGAGTGAATGAATCACTCTATCTATAAAACAGCTACCAAAACTAATAAGGGAGTTGAGCACATTTGAAGCACATTTTTAGCCTAGGCCAAAAAGCCCCAAAATCTGTTTTCAACTCCCTTTTTTGTTTCATTTTTTTTTATAAATAAAAACTTTGAAATTGGAACATACCAGCCTTTTTTTTTTTTTTTTTTTTTTAGAACAGAGAACATTTAACTCTCAAGTTTTCTTCCTTCACTACCTCCACCCCCCAGAAGTCACTTTTGTTTTTGTTAGGTTTTGTTTTTAATGTTTGGTATCTTAGTTTAAATGATTCTTTCCCAGGGCGAGAATCCGAAGGGTGTCTGATTTGCTACTCCTGTTACAGGGGTGGTGCTCTTGATCAAGAATTTCATGAATTTCCTTTCAGTTTAGCTTCTGACTGGAGTGCTCTTTCCCAGTCATTTTCTCCCCCCCCTTCTTTTCCACAGTCCGATCTGCTCACAGGCTCCATTTGCGGAAGGACGATGGGAAATTCCCGGGGAGACGTTTTGCCCAGTGTTGACGCTGAACCCTTGTAGCTGCATTTGGGTGGGTTAAGTTCACTGGTGGGGACAGAGGGCAGTCAGAATTCCTCAAACACTGTGAGAGGCCTGGGAGTCTGCAGAATTTTGTTTTGGTTGTTCTGAAATCCAGGTCACTTAAATTTTTGCGTGTCTTTTGGTTGAGGTCAAGGGATGGGATGAAATATGTATACTCTCACTCACAGCCCCCCAGCCCCTGAGTACGCACAAACCACCTTTCTCCGGGCTCGCAGAGGAAATAGTTGCCTGACTTTGCATAAAGACCTACCAAGGCACTCTTCTCTCCTGTCTTCAAATATCTCCGGGACATGGGCCAAGATCTTGTATTCGCACCAGCCCGCAGGGCATTCTGTTGTAAAGGATGCAGGGCATTCTGTTGTAAAGGATGTCTCCTACCGAGAGACCAGAGACCGACTTTGGCGTTCATGGCTTTACATTTTAGCTCCATCAGATCACATAGGAATATCCTTCCCTGTAAAACGGAACTAATAAAAATTATCTCATAAATGGGATTACATTTGTAAAGCTACTGGCATCCAGTAGCCACTCAACAAACACAGATTTTTGCTTTTCTTCAAAATCTTTCACTTAGGTCACATCATTTGCTCTTCACAGAACCCTGCTGGGCAAACGGCACACGTTCTGTAAGCACCCCCCACCCTTTTCATAGATGATTAACCTGGTGTTTTGAAACTTGCTTAGTAATAATAATAACAACGAACTCTTATCCATGCTTGCTACATGTCAGGCATTGTTCTAACCATTTTACATTTAGTCCTCACAAGTCTATGAAGTGAGCGCTAAAAGTCCCATTTCACAGATGAGGACCATTAAGGCAGTGAAAGGCTACGTCATTGCCCAAGGACAAAGAGCTGGCAAATAGAATAGTTGAGATTCAAACCCAAGTAGTGTTGGTCCGAAAGAAGTGCTCTTCACCAGTATACTTCAGTGCCCCTCTTTCCCACGGTTTTTAACTAGTAGATTGGATTCCCATCTGTGAGTCCCAAGTCTAGAGCACACTTCAGACTCAGAGGAGGAATGCATTAGGTCCAGTAAACAAAATACCCTCCTGGAGACAGCACCAGGTTATCCGATCTGCCAGCCGGGACTAGGCACACAGTAGGACCAGAGAGCCAGCCCAGGGAAGGTGCACACAGCCGAGCAGCATGAGAAGCTGAGACGCCCCGGGAGGAGATTTCCCTCTTCACTTTGCCCTTTAGAGACTGGGGTCTAGGGCAAAGGAGGACTATTTGTTCACAGAGACCCTGAAGGTCCACAGCACCTGTTCATTCAATGGTACTTAGCGCTCTTTGTATTGTACTTAGCCGTGAATATTTCTGAAGGGCTCCTGAAGGGCGTGACCAGGTTTTACTCATTTTTCTACCCTCCATGTGGAGCCCATAGTAGGTACTTAACAAGTGTGAGCTGGATGAATAAATGGTTACAAACCAAGGAACATCCCTGAGCCCCAAAGGGATTTGGGGTTTGCTTTATGTTTTATTTTGTTGCACCGCAAGGAACTACATCTCATTTTTAAGCTTTTTTTTCTGATAGCAAAAACATTTAAATGAAGATTCTTTGGGGACAAATAAGCCAATATTTTCAACTCTTCTCTTAGGGCAACTCTTTTATATTCTACCCATTTTCATGTTTTTATGTTTGTACATTACCCATTTAAAACCACAAATAGTATGACTTTTAGAAACTGAATGTGTGATTTAATAATAAGCATCCACCCCCACCTATTAAAATGCTTCCTAATGCATAAAAGCCTACAAATATCAAGCCACAATGGATTTTATTGACTTCTGTGTAAGTGTATGAAGTGGATGCCATGTTCCTCTCCATCCGAGATGTGTCGGTAATATCGGACTGTATTTCTCCCTTGTAATCATTAATGGGCATGGTTGTAAATGGCAGCTTTAAAAAAAACGTAAACTGGGGCGCCTGGGTGGCTCAGTCGGTTAAGCGTCCGACTTCGGCTCAGGTCACGATCTCGCGGTCCGCGGGTTCGAGCCCCGCGTCGGGCTCTGGGCTGATGGCTCGGAGCCTGGAGCCTGCTTCCGATTCTGTGTTTCCCTCTCTCTCTGCCCCTCCCCCATTCATGCTGTGTCTCTCTCTGTCTGAAAAATAAATAAACGTTAAAAATAAATAAATAAACGTAAACTGAAGTTTTGAAGATGAGTTTCACAACTCTTAACATTTTATTCAATGTGCTGAGGAGGAAAAACTTTTCTTCTACCCTCTTAGGTTCAGTATCTGGGGCCCTGTGAATTAAACAGAGACAGGTTAAAAGGAGAAAAAGCACACCATTTTTGTTAATATTTATGTGCGCAAGAGTTCACCAAAAAGAAATGAAACTCAAAGAAGCAGATTCGGGGGCTTACATATTATTTTAACAAAGGCAAAGGGGCTTGAGCTTCATGGGATGATGAATTGTGGGGAACAACTCAGAAATATATAGGGGGACTAATGGAAAATCGGGGCTATTTTAGTAAAGTCTCTTTATGCAAACTCATCTTGGTGTTGACAACTCCCTGTCTTCTTCCTTGACTCTTCTCTCCCTGGTGGGGGAAGGATCACCTGCGCCAAAGGGAAATTTGTACAGTGCTTTTAAGCAAATAAGGAAAGTTCTGAGAACACTTCCTATGTCTGTTGATTCTTAGTTGCTTTCAGCTCAAAATAATCCTTACACCAAAATGGCATCTTTGGGGATGGTGTACTCTGATCTGCTTCCTACGGAAAGTAAAGAATATTACAGCTGAAACGTGTGAATTATTCCCAATGTTACTGCCTTTTTCACAAGTCCTATTCGCAAAACAAAAACAAAAACAAAAAAAAACCACACACACACACACACACACACACACACACACACAAATCCAGCAGCTTCCTTGTTAAGGAAATCTGTTTTCATATGTTTTCTGACCTGGCACCTGTACTTTTCTGTTGTTTGTGGCATTTCCGTGAGTTCTTTTTAAATTATTAAAAGTAAGGTACAATTATATAAAGTCTATTTACAAAAAAGGGGAGAAGGCAAGTCATCCATAGCCGGACCTTTTCTATTACGAACTATGCTTTTGCATATTTTCTTTCAGTGTTATCTACGTGCTATAGTTGGAGTGAGGTAGGGCATGGAACATATCACCACAGGCTCTGTGCTATTGCTCGCTCACGGTGGTCATTACTGAGCAGCTGCAGGGTTGACCTCACCACTCTTCAGTCCTCAGACACCTGAGCTGCCTGCCCAGGGGCAGTCTGACTTCTAGCCAGGGGAGGAGGGCCTGTGGGGTTGGCCGCTTCTGGCCCGGTGGAACTTGGGCCTCCAAGAGCCGCTGCAGAGGCTCACAGGTTAAGGTGAAGCATGGCCAATGGGCTTATAGCTCCGGGCTCCCTTCTTGCTCTCTTCCCACTGCCGGGCTGAGGGGAGTGGACTTCCCAGGCCAACCCTCCATCCCCTTGCCTGAGCCTTGCCACACCAGGGCCCGCCCAGGGTGGGTCCCTCCCAGCCACTCTCTCCTTCTGTCCTAGCAACCTGAAGACCTCCCGGGTGGAGAGGAAAGACCTAGGCGGCGCACCATGGCCGTCATGGCCCACCTGCTGGCCGCCGACGTGCAGCAGCTGCTCCACAACAAGTTCGTGGTCATCCTGGGAGACTCTGTCCAAAGGGCCGTGTACAAGGACCTGGTGCTCCTGCTGCAGAAGGACCTCCTGCTCACTCCCACCCAGCTCAAGGCCAAGGGGGAGGAGAGCTTTGAACGGGACAAGCTGGTGGACGGAGGCCAGCGGGGCCCCATGCACAACGGCACCCAGTACCGGGAGGTCCGCCAGTTCTGCTCCGACCACCACCTGGTGCGCTTCTACTTCCTGACGCGCGTGTACTCCAGCTACCTCGAGGCCATCCTGCAAGAGCTGCAGTCCAGCCAGCACGGCCCCCCGGACGTGATCATCATGAACTCCTGCCTCTGGGACCTCTCCAGGTACGGTCCGGACTCCTGGAAGAGCTACCTGGAGAACCTGGAGAGCCTGTTCGAGCGCCTGGGCCAGGTTCTGCCCGAGTCGTGCCTCCTGGTGTGGAACACAGCCATGCCCGTGGGCAAGAAGATCACCGCGGGCTTCCTCCCGCCGGAGCACCGGCCTGAGGATTCCTCCCTGAGAGACAGAGTCATCGCGGCCAACTTCCACAGCTCTGTGGAAGCGAAGAAACACGGCTTCGATGTGCTGGACTTGCACTTCCACTTCCGCCACGCGGGGCGCCACCTGCAGCGGGACGGAGTGCACTGGGACGAGCTCGCGCACCGCCACCTCTCCCAGCTGCTGCTGGCCCACGTGGCCGACGCCTGGGGCGTGGATCTGCCCCGGCGGTACCCGGTGGGCCCCTCGATCCGGGATGGCCCCGCGAGGACCGGACCCGGCCGGGGAGTTGAGCGGCAGCCCCAGGCCAGCCCAGATCAACCGTCCATGCCTCCTGCCGGGTACCGCCCCCTGCTCCCACTTCCCCATCTACCCCCGCCCCCGCCTCCCCTCCTGCCCTTGCCCCCACATCCTCGCCCTTTTCCCTTTCACCCTGTGATGACCAGATTCCAGTTCGGTCCCCGAGATCACTTTTCTGCCTCAGACCATCCTTTCCAGTCCGATCCGTTCTCCTCAAACCATTTCCATTCAGATGTCCCGTCACCTACCCAGACAGGATTTTCCTTTGAAGATGATCCCCAGCCACCCAGGCCCCCTTTCCCCACACCCTACCTGCAGCGGGCCCCTGTGGTTCATAGGGGGTTTCCCCGGCATCTACCTCGTGGCCCCTATGTGCCCTGGGGTCGCCGGCCCAGATCTTCCAAGAGACAGGCCCCATCCCACCCACAGCCAAGGCCTCAATAAACTGACTTGGGGGCCTTACTCCTCATGGTGGACATGGACTGGGCAGATCATCTGACTCTCCTGAAACAGCCTGACCTTGTTAACAGAAGCCTTTGCTCCCTGCTTGGACTTCTTTTTGGTCATTGCTGTTACTAATAATGGCCTAGAAGAGCCCTTCAACCATTTTTGTTGGCTGTGGCCTTTTCCTCCAATCGTTGGTGGTGACCAAGCATTACTCCTGCCTCTCCACTCCCTGTCCTCTTTGTCTTTTTGTAAACCTAAAATTGAAATAAAGAAGTAGTTTCACAAAAGTAGTTGTAGATTTTGCGTGTGTCTGTATGTAATGGTGCCTCCCCTTTCCAATAAATAATTAGCTTAAAAAGCAAGGACGGGATCTGTTGACTTGAGTGTTTATGGCACCTACTTGACAAACTATTCAAAGTGGAATTTGTCTAAAATCATTCTGAGGCTTTCCATAAAATACACCTGATTCCTTACGAATAGGCAGAAGAACTTTAATTTTTTGTGGTCTTTTCCAGAGATTCTCAAAGACTCATTGAATTTTAAAACTGGGAAGAGTGGGGGCGCCTGGGTGGCTCAGTCGGTTAAACGGCCGACCGGCTCAGGTCATGATCTGGCAGTCCATGAGTTCGAGCCCTGTGTGGGGCTCTGTGCTGACAGCTCAGAGCCTGGAGCCTGTTTCAGATTCTGTCTCCCTCTCTCTGCCCCTCCCCCGTTCATGCTCTGTCTCTCTCTGTCTCAAAAATAAATAAACGTTAAAAAAAATTTTTTTTAAATAAAAAATAAAACTGGGAAGACTGAATATATAATATTTAACGCAAACAAGGTAACTGCAGCTAAGCATGGTGAGTAACTTGTTCTAGGTCACCCAAGAGCCCTCATCCACCAGTCTTTCCTACTTTATGGTATAACTTTCAAACCACAGGACTAATTTATTTATACCAACTAATACCAAACCAAGAAGGACAGGTTACCAAACATGGTCCTTCTATGAAAATGATGGTGAAAACCCCTCATAGCTCCATAACTCCAGAAGTTTATTGGTTAGGTGTGCAATGAATTACATACGTACACTAGAGTGGATGGCATGCTTGTGACTTTATGATTTTTTGGACAGTCAGGAGTTCGCGACTTGAGAAAATTAGAAAAAAGTAAGTTGCATTCAATGGCAATGTCTATCGCCATCATATAATAAAACTACCAGTGGGAAGGGAACACGCAGGACACGACTTGGACAGATGGCCATGGCCAGCTCTTCTCTGTTTTGTGGGAATGTTAACATCACCAAGACTTTATGTTCTAGGCCCTTTATCACCCCAGACTAGTGAAGTGTTAGCACTTAGATAAAATAGCCCAAACAGGTCATGACTAACATTGAATGATAGATTATTTCATTGGGTTGATTTGACTGGTTTATGAGCCCTCCCCTGGACCATTCCTGAACTTGACAAGTTCAAGTGTCAGAAAATGTTATCCCACAAAAAATGAAATTTGTGAAATCACACACACACACAAAAATAGATGAGATCAGCTCTCTATAGAAGAAATACACAGCAGCTTTTAATCTACTAAAAAACCATGAAATTTGTGGGGAATAAGACCTTCGTCTTACTTACTTTGTGTCTTAAATCCCAGCGCAAATGTATAGCACTTAGTACTGAATACTGTTAAATAAATTAGTGAATGAATACGGGGTGTATAAGTCTTCCTGGTGAAACTCACCCAAGTCTCTGACATCTAATCACCATAGCACATCTGAAGGAATATTGCTGAAACAAACACGATGACGACATTCCAGGACTCTAGAAAGGTGGAGTCTGCATGTCAGAATTTGCCAGAACATACCAGCAAACTCAGGACAGAGAGTACCTGTCCAACCAGTGTAAATGTGCTAATCCCAAGGAGGAGACTAATGCACCGGGCTGTAAGATTTGGTGAAATTAGCCATCGATACGAGTCAGTTGCCTTCTGGCTTCACATTCCCCAAGCAAGACAAAGCAGTGCTTAGTGATTTGAGTAAGCTCACTCATTTAGTATGTATGTTTCCATGGATAAACAAATCAGTGGTGTGGTTTATATCTCTTAGGAGTCAGGCCAGTGTGTACTATTCCTCTTTAATCTGATCACACCTGACGAGGCAAGGGGAATGAGTTCTCACATATACATATATGTGAGAGGACCAGACATACACAGTGCTGAGGACCAGAGACCCGACACTGAATCAATGATGAATCCACTATAATACGACATGGATTAAACTACACCAAGCACTTATCGGTCCTGTTTCTCTCAGAGGAATAGGAGTGCAGGTAGACTCAAGCAGGGACAATCTTTTCCTGCCCGGGTGTATTAATTTCCTGGGGCTGCTGTAATGAAAACCACAAGCTTGGCGACCTAAAACAACACATATTTATGCTTTTAACAGTTCAGGAGCTCAAAAGTCCAAGCAGAATCTACCCAGGGTCCCGTGCCATCCCACAGGATCAGGCCTCTGCCTACCCCTGCCATGTCATCTTCTGGAACTCTCTTCTTTGCTGTTCACACTGGGCTTCCTTCTGTTCATGTTCGACATGCCAAGCTCTATCAGAAGTTGAGTCTTTGCCCTTGCTATTTCCTCTGTCTGGAATATTCCATATCCCCTGCCCCTGGTTTCTTTGGATATCTAACCCTTCATCCTTCCATCCACATTTTCCAAGTAACCTCCAAAGGCCTTTTAGAATCATGCCATCTAAAAGTACCATTGAGATCTACCCTGGCACTCGTTCTGTCCTTGAATTGCTTACCCGCCCCCCAGCAGTGGCTTTGGTAGCTGGCTGTGTGTTGGCCGCTCCCATTAGAAAGTAAGCTCTGTTGAGTCTCGTTCACTATTGAATCACCAATGTCTAGTAGCACAGTGCCTGGCAAGGAAGGTGTTCAAGTATGTTTACTTTAGATAAATGTTCAAGAACGTTAATTCACATTGTGTACTCATGAGAATGCAACTGATATTAAAATTGAGCTGTAGATGACCACTTTTCTTTAGAAAATGTCTATAGAATCCTCCCTTTATCTAAGTCATTCTGGGTGGCTGGCACCCTTGAACTTCTTCACCCCCATGGGATTAGCCTGACAGCACCTTCAGTGCGAATTTCATACATAACGCCGAGCTTTCTTCTTTGCCTATTTTTACTTGCTACCTTGCTCCTTAAGTCAAGAAACCTAGCAATGCAATCAAGCCATTGTCTGGGAAGAAGAGCCTAAATTATTCAACGGTTATGAGAAAAATTATTGTTTCATTGTTAAGACTGAACAATGCAGGGTCCATTCAGCCTAGTCTCCAGCCTCAAGAAATGACAGCGCTTGAAGCTTTTTATACTTGACTCTTGTCTTCTGGAAAAAGGAAAAAAAAAAAAAAAAGTAAAATCAATGATTAAATTAACATTATCCAAGCAGCCTATGGTTCTCACCTTATTCTAGAATCAGGTATACTGTTATATCAAAGGACAAAATTTCAAAGCTATAACTATTTTTCCATAAGCACAATGCAAGGCCCAGCATTGGAAATCAAATGGAATCTTATAGCCTTTCATAGGATGGGGATCAGCCCGCTCTCCCCAGGTCAGCCACAGAGCTCTTGTTTCCACACCCCCCCCCCCGCCCCCGCCCTGCATTGCATGTTACTTCCTCTGAGCTGCAGCCTCATCTCTGACAGCTTTATGTTCATGAATTCTGCAAAGGTAAGTTATTTGGACCATTAAGGCTCATATCTAAGGGATTTGCCATTATTTTAAACTATTAGATGCTTGTCTTTAAAACTCTAGGATCAGTATCTCATTCCTACCACTTTAAAAAAAGGCTTCTTGTCACTGCACCCTTAATTCATAGATACGGTTTTTCAAAAGACTTGACTCTACCCATTAAACTTTAAAGAGAGCTTTCCTAAAACATGTCTCTCTGAGCCCTAATCTTTACATGCATGCTGTAGGCAAGGATACTTGTAAGGATTTGTTCTGTAATTGCCCCATGTGGAAATTCACAATGACCTTTAATGGATTAGAGGCTCTGAGAGGTTCTGCGTGAAATGAACTGGATTAAACATGTTCAACCTAGGGGTTTCCAGATATATTCAACCGCATATGAAAATACCTTTCCATATGTATGATCTCCGAAAAACATGTTTTGGGAAATATTGTTCTAGAGAATGCCACGTAAAACAGGCGGTGTAAGTGCAAAGAAGGCTCGTTACTGACATTTTACACACGAAGCCCCTTTTCAATGGAGCATTATAATAATCTGGGCCAAGTATGAGATAATATTCATTAGGTAGGCCTGTGACAAGTCTGAGATTGGCTAGTTGAGCGAAGTGGGATGAAATGGACCAGGAATGATGGCCTTCATCTTGTTCTAAGGTGGGAGGCTGGGGTGAGAAGGGGGCTGTGTGGCCAGTCCAGACGACACAGCAGGGCACACAGCGGAGGTAACAGTCATTCAACACAGCACCCTCTGTCAGCACTTAACAACATGGTAAGAGGCAGGCCCCAGCTCTCTAAGAAAGAGCCTTTCTTGGAAGAATGAGAGCACCCACAGAAGCTGCTGTGGCCATGTCATGTGGTCTGTGACACGTAGTCTGGGCCCTGAACAGCTTCCCCTGCATCATGCTGCAGTGATGCCTCTCCGACCTGGGTGGTACCTGGTTTCTCATCTTTACTTCCTGCTCCCATGTCTATGTCACATGAACTAGTATTTGATCTTATCTTTCATCTCCGTGATTCTATCACGCTGCCAGATGGATCCTTTCCCTATCACTCATTTGTCCCTAACCACACAGTGCCCCAAGGCACTGGTTCTCAAACTTTATTTGGAGTCTGTCAGAATATCCTGGAGGGCTCGTGAAAACATCACTGCCACCATCTCCTTGGCAGAGTAGAGCCCTAGGATCTGCATTTCTAGTAAGTTCCACACTTGGAAAACCACCAAAGAAACAAAAAATGTAGAAAGAAGCATGTAATCCTACTGATGTAGCCATAACCTAAATTTATAACCATTGTTAACATTTTGTTGTATATTATCTTTTTTCTGAAGTATTTTAAAGTTGGCTTCTTAATTAATATTATATTGCTTCATATTATATTGCTTCATAATATTTCACCCCTAAATATTTCGTATGTGGGAAAGAAGGACATTTTCCTACATAACCATAAATATTACATCTAACAAAGCTGACAATAACTTGCTTATATCATGTGATACCGTTAGGGACTGAATGTGTGGGACCTTTGGAAGACAATTAGAATGAAATGCGATCCTGAAGTTG